GACTTCGTAATTTTGTCAAATAACACTATTAAAACTGACTTGAACTTTAACAAAGTCTTTGTTTTTTGTGATTATCCAAAAATGTCACCAAAAATCGTTTTTAAAATCAGGCAAATTTCTTTTTTTCAGTAGTTAGATATTCACCAGCTTCCCTGCAGTGTTTTTCAACACGTTTTTTCCACACTCGAAATTGGGCCTCCGGAAGCATTGCTGTGATTCTGGAATTTTCCAAATTCAAAACACCCGTGCAGCATGACGCATAAGTTACCACTCGACACGAATACTGACTCGAGAGAAAACCAAGAAGAAAAGCAGAAACGATTCGGGGAAAAAGTAAAACCAAGGTGCAAGAATACCTATAAATTAACTTGAGATATGGAAAGACGGAGTACCTCGGAAGCGAATAACGGAAATGAACATCCAGGAAAGGCAATTACTCCAGGCCGAAATTAGCCTGCGAGAACAAGAACTGTACCGCAAATCTCTCAGCAAAAGGTCAGAGGCGCGGGCGAATCTGAGGTTACTCCAACAAATTAAATTCATTTAAAAAAAAAATAAATAAATCGACGCAGCTAGCGATCGTCCTTGCATCGCTGTGTCGATGGCACGAAGATGTGCAACGATGAAACAACAGCTGATCAAAGTATCGAAGCAAAGTAAGCGTAAGCACAAAAAATCACAGATGGCGCTGGACTAGAACTCACTACACCTCAACAAACATGAGCAAATGCGCTACAAAGCATGGAATGTTTGATGAGCAAATGCGCAATTGCTTTCACACTAACTAACTTTTCAATAGCGTCAAATTCAATCGGACGGGAGGAAACTGTGTCCAAGCGAATGGTGCACCGGTGGTGCAAATTCACGGATCATTCGCGCATCCTGCAATTCTTCACCATTTTCACCAAATGAATGCAAATAATTGCACAGCACTCCAAAAATCTGATTATTGAGCAGCTGAAATCTGCGTATCCTCTCCACCATTCGTGATAATTTCTGCAAAAACTTTCGTTGAGGTAAGAGTTTTGAAATACAGGAGATACGAAAAAAATAAGTTTAAAAAAAGGTGATTTGAAAGCCCGACTTTTGTGTTCTCATAATAGGCACGGTACCTCATCGTAGCCCAGGAATGGTAATGTTTGGAATAAGATGGCGATTAAGAGTAATCACACAAAGACTACCTCAAAAGAGCTAAAATCTTGCCAGGTGCTTATGTCAGGAGGATCGTTAAGTTGATAATCACCCTGCGAGACAAAACGAACGTCAGAATCGCCAGCAGGCTGATCACCAGGCAAATTATTCAGAGCAAATAGAAGAGATGCTCTCAGCTACATATTTAGAAAGACCTGCTGTATTTTAGCAAATATCGCAATAATTTTCGAGAGAAAACTTACAATGCCGCGCACAACGTCATCTTTACCATCGGCCCGATGAACCCGTAAAAGATGATAGCTGAAATCAAAAATCTCAAAACGACGATGCTGATTGAGGACAGCGATTATTGCACAACCAGCCCAATGTATCCCGTCACCAAAGATACCCCTGAAAGCAGCATTTTTTAAAGCTGGCATGAGCACTTGAGCTGGAATGAGTAAAAAAAAGGTGGTTCATTTCATAGGCTCATTGTTCACACTACCTACGAGTACATAAGAGCAAAGCTAAAACAAAAACAGGCACAGTGAAGGGAAAAGAACTCACTCGATAAGTGCTTCAGTTACTTGATTCTGACCTTCCGAATTTGTAAGCTGCGGTTGACAGAAGAAAAATTGAAGTGCCGACCATAATCGATAAAATTCCACACACTCATCAATCCACATCACCTAAACAAAGCAGTACGCATGATATAAAATACTAAGCACTATTCAAATGTGCAAATATTTGCTATCAAATAGTAATACATATATATATATGTATGTATGCATATATACATATACATATATATATACATATATATACATATACATATATATATACATATATATACACATATACACACATATATACACACATATATACACATATATATACACATATATATACACATATATATACA